GGCGGCCAGCGCGCTGGCGTCCGCCTTGCCGAGGAGGGCGGCGTCCAGGGCTGCCGTGGTGACTGCGCCCAGGAGGGCACCTCCAAGGAAGTGTCGACGGCCGACAGCAGGGCGTACGCGGTCAGCGCGCTGGCGTCCGCCTTGGCGTGCTGGAGGGCGTGGTGGCGACGAAGAGCACCCCGGACGGCGTGGACCTGAAGCTGTCGAACTACAGCACCACCGCGGCCATGAACGGCTCAATCGCCTCGGCCAACAACGCCACGCTGGCCACGGTGGCGGCCAACTACGGCCTCAAGACGGTGGTGGACCAGGACTCGTGCGAGGATCACGCCGCTGGAGGTTCGACACCGAGGTGGCCAACGCTCTCCTGGGCGTCGTGTCCGCCGCAGCGCTGGCCTCCGACAGCGAGCTCTGCAGCGCTGCGATGCTGCTTCCGTGCGCGGCCACCTGCCCGTCCGTGGTGGCCAGGGCCGCTGCCGTGGCCAGGGGCGCAACCAGGCCCGCGCCAGGGTTTTTTCGGAAGTAGCGTGGCTACAATGTGACACAATGATTTGACCGGTGGCGCCGGTCAAATAGTGATGAGTGACCTGCGCACGACGCTCGAAAATTTCGGGACAGTTCACCGAAAATTTCAAAGAAAGTTATTGTTTTTCAAGGTTTTTGCAAACCACTCCCTGTGGGTGTGGTGATTTGGTAGCTGACATGTGGCTCCGCAAGTTCGCTTCCACTTGCGCAGTGACAAAACTCTTGGTTGGTGTTGAGTGTTCAACTTTTGTTGGCGTACTGCCTTCATGTCTTGCAGGTCGTTGTTCTCCAGAAGTTGGACCATTCTTGGTTTGGCTGGCGCTTGTATGTACTGTGCACTTGCTCCCAGAGGGCAAGGTCGCTTGCTGGAAGCTTGCAACCAGCAGGAAAAGCAAGCGGCCGGTTTGTTCACAACAGGCCGGTTTGGCATGTGTCTTTTGGTTTTCTTGGGTTTGTCACTTGGACCAATGTTAACAACAATCAAACTTGGTTTTTGACATTGCTAAGTTGGTTGACAAGTGTGGCAATGTTTGCATGGTTCGAGATAATTCCACAGAGCATTTCGACATTTTAGATTCTGCTGTGTTTTTGAAGATTTGCAAAATATACATTTACTGTAATTTATATTTTTCCTGGAGTGGAAATGAATTGCCGGAGAACGGTTTTAAAGTAAAGTTGAAGGCAAATTGCATTTTCAGATGTTATTGTCTGTTTGATGCTCACAGTTAGCAGCCCCAAACGTGCTGCACACAACGGCTTTCATGCAACAATGCATATTTGTTTGTCTTTTGTTTACGAGGTTGTAGGCATGTGTTTCAGGCTCGTGGTTTGTACTGTTCACAACCTGTTGGCGGCAACCGGCGATTCCTGCACGCTGCCCATTTGTCCGCTGTGAAACTGGTGTTTGTGCGCGTGTGGTAGTTTCCGTGTTTGCTGGCTCAGTATTTCGCGCGGTTGCTTTTTATGCAATGCCAGTAGCTCCAGGCATGGGCTGCCGATTAATTCCGGGCAAGTTGTAGAACACTACGCTGACCAAGTTTCATTGGAGGCTTCAGTTTGAGTTGTTGTCTACAAGCACTTCTTGTTTTGTGAAGTTCATTTCTGCTCAGGTTGGTTTCTGAGATGACGTGCTTTGACCACCATTTTTTAATCATTTTTCCTTTGCATTGCAATGGTCAAGTCTGAGGCGGCATGATGCATGCATGGCTCAAGGGCTACGTGCAATGCGCGTAGCTAGTTCAGGCCTTCCATGAACCGATGTGGCTTTTGGCTTTGCATTGCTGCCTGCTTTTCTGTGGTGCCTTGACATGATGACAAGCGCACAGTGCAACAGGAGCTCAAGGCTTGAGGTTTGAAGACGAGTTGAATGACAGTGCATACGACAGCGAGTCTGTCTCCTATGACTGGACCCAGGCATTCAGTGCACGACCCAGTGGGCTGGCTGATTCTGATGATGGCAGGGCTCCCGAGGATGGCAAGTGGCAAGGGTTCGAAATTCGCCTAATTGCCAGGATGATGAGCTCGAGGAAAAGAGTTTGAAGACACCCATCATTTGTTACACAAGGCAAATGCCGCTAGTACCCGTTTTCAGGACACATGGCATTCAACTTGACAAGTTGAATGCGTTTGCAACGACGGATAAGATGAAATTCGATTGCCCAGGTCCAGACATGCGGCGCCAACAGCTCAGCAGGACAGAACTTTGCGGTCTGCTGATTGGAAATGCTTTCCGAAGCGCAGGAGAACTCGTCAAGCAGTTCTGCAGACCAGACAGAGGCGGTACATTGGGCAACGTGTTTCTTTGCTCCGCTTTGAGTGTCATTCATTTGTGTCGTCAAGTTGCAGTTTTCAGCTTTGGCATACTGTTAGCTGTTCAGATGAGACATGCCTGCAGGTTTCGCCAGCGAAGACGACAAGGCATCTCGATTGCAGCCACAGATTACTACATGGACAAAGTTGACTGTGATGATGATTGAAAAGCATATCCCATGAACTTCACATCAGGAAATCATTCAGAACCTGAGCTAGATTCTGGGCCGGATCCAGACGAGAGGGCAGAGGCCATGATGGCGCTTTGGATTGCAAGGGAATCGCATGCTTGTTAGGTTCTGGGGAACTCAGAAGTGGCAGCTGTGATTTGTATGAAGCTTGTTTTCCGAGCCAAGGCTGCATGCAGTAGGGACAAGTACGACAACGTCGAAGTGACACTTGGCCGCCAAAGAACAGATGCTGAGTGGCTTTAACACATTGAGTTTCTTCATTCTTCCACGTATAAGCCGGTAGGTTGTCTTCTTGTGACGCTCATTGTCCTGGTTGCTTCCGTGGCTTGATTTTCGGCGGGCCTGAAATTCTTTGTTGAAAGTTATGGGCTTCATATACCGAAGATATTGGCGTGCTTGGTGCCTCTACTGATTAGATTAGTGCTCGTTGTAGGATGTGAGCATGACACATCGTGAATCTTACAGCGCAGCAGGAGAGACCTTCGTGGCTGTGTGGAAGAGCTGCAGAAGTATGCCTCATCCACGCGCAATGGTGGCTTGGTGCATCAGCATTCAAGTTTTGTTCTGGCATAGTGGTGGATGGTGCTCATAGACCCTTGTACCTTTCTGCTGATTTTCAGGCAACCCCCTTGCAAGTTGCCCCTGTACCCCAAAAAATCTGGGATAGTCCTTTTCCTCTTGCGAGTGAGTGGGAGGGCCCCTGAAGCTCCTTGACTCGTCTGGACAGGACTGATACAGTCCATAGAGGCCGAGAAGGTCTTCGTCAGGGAGTACCAGCAGCTCGGTGAGTCGACGCGGCAAAGGAAAAGGTCGGGAAGAGAACCCCAGGAGCCTCCCAGTCAAGTCGCGCTCAGCTCCCAAAGCGGCCTTGCCAGCACGATATGGTAGCACCAATGTTGAGGTGGCCGCCATTGTGCCTCCAGTGCTGCGCCATGTGTGTGGGGGGGGGGGGAAGAGGACACTTTGGCTCTTGTGTTGTTTAGGCTCCGTGCTTAATTTGAGGTGTCTGGTCTTGTTTTGAGTTTTAGGGTCTCGTAAGCGATTTTAGGTGATTCCGAATTCTCGCGATGGGGGATCTTCTCTTAACATTGCACTGGACAGTTTTCAAGTTTCAAAATTTTAGCAGTGTTGTCGTTGGATGAACCTGCCAATTTTCAAGTTTCATCTCCAACCCCAACCACTTGTTTCATTAATATGCTTAAGTCCACTTGTAACTCGCATAGGTCCTGTCAACATGTTGGCTCAGCTAGGGAGAACTCTTGCGACTTTTGATTTTTCTGTTTCCTGCCCCAGTTGAGTTTTTGGGGTTCGCGCGCGATTTCCGGTGGTCCCGGGCTTCGAAACACACCTACACGCCATAGATCTGCCTCGCTTTGCACATGTCCAGTTTTGCAGTTATCACGCCCCCATGAACAGACAAATTTGATTCCCTATTTGTCGGATGTTTTATTCGAGATGCTCCGGTGCAGCCCCCTCTGCCACTGAGCTTCTGAGATGCAGTTCCGCCTTCGCGGCTTGTGCTCCTCAAGTTGTTGGTTTGGCTGTAGTGGTTCGCATGTCTCCGGAGCCCAAGCGGTCTGAGGAATGCCGCAAAAAAGCTGGCGTTCATGGGAAACACTGCGCCTTGGCACAGGAAACAGGTGCCGCTTTCGCACCAGTGTCTTTGTTTCAGAACTCTGTTGGCACTCTTTTTGGGTACACTCATAGCTTGAGCATCCGAAATATCCTCTGGAGCACCAGAGGAAGAGTACGATGGCTGGAGGGAATCACACATAGGTTGGAAGTCACGGTCGGCTTTCAGGAGTGCCATACTTTGTCCATCCATCGGACCCCTCGAATTCTGTTTCATTGGGACATCCAAGCTGAAGAGGTTAGGTGCAGCATGTGAAGTTCTTCGCTGTCAAAGTGGCGTCGCGAGCCTGGACCGAGGAGCTCTTCTGGGCAGACATCCAGAAGGACGCATGGTGCAGTTCCCGAATTCTTTGCATGACGAGCTGTGTCTCCAATGACAGAGTTCCACCTTGATCACACTGGAACACTATGCGTCCCAGGGAAAAAGGAAGTATTAGGTCTTGTGTTGAGTCGCAGCTGTTGCTAGCTGTAAAGGAGGTATGGGCTTGGCTTTTGACAGATGGAATTGGAGGAGCACAACAATGCGCTGACCTTCCTCACAGATGTTGCATCCCAAGTGGATGAGGATGCGAAAGACCTCAAGGCCAGCTGAACCGAATGTTCAAAGTTCAAGCCGCGTGAGGGCCCGTCCCTCGAGTGTTTGGCGTCGAGTGTCTTTTGCAGAAACCGGGAGTGCACGCTTGTGAGGGGGAGAGCCGGTGCGAAAGCCATTGCCAAAGCCACATGCGCAAATTCCTGTTGGGCTCGGAAGTCTCTGTCAAGTCTCCGAATGAGAACGTGTTTTGCTTTGTAGGAATCGTCTGCCTTGGGGTGAACACATCTATCTCATTTCAGGGTCAAAATTGGATTTATTTTCTTTTAAGCAGTTGCATTCAGCTTGCATTGGTCAGGTGTACACAAAGCTGGTGAGGAAGAGGGAGGCGGAGCAAGCCAACAGAACTGAAGGCAGGCTCGCTTAAAATACTCAGTGTGACATTCTTGCCACCTCTACAGGTGCAAAAGAGGGCGCAATGCTTTTCCTAGTTTCTCATAAGCAGCAGCACACAAGGCAGCGATTTCTTGACCAACGCTTGGAATTTGCCCCGTGGCGCATCATGCCGTACTTTGTACTCTGATGCCGTGTGACGTGCTAAACAAAGTCAACCAGAGGGCGGAGACCGGAGAAGGGCGTGCATGCTCTCATGCATGTTAGCACGCATGCGCAGGTGATGAGGATGAGGATGAGGATGACGACGAGGATGAAGACTCTGAAGATGAAGATGAATCTTCTGGCGACTTTGCTGGATGTTGACCGCATCAACCTTTGTTCCTGTAGTTTTGGATTTCAGCATGTGGGAGTTGTGCTGCGTGTGTTCTCAAGAGACTCTATATCATTCATAGCCTAAGTTTTCAACCCATGCAGGCAAAGATGCGTCCAAGACAGGCCAGGCCACGACAGCAGCACCAAAGCCGCTCGCACGCACAAAGAGCGATATGTAATTTGGGATGGCACATTTTCTGTTGTAGCTGCGCGTGCGTTGAGCTAGAGCATTCTGTGCAGTTTGGTTTGAGAAGCGACATTTTGCTTGAACATGCAGGGAGCTTGTGCCACAGCGCATGTCTTGCTATCCAAGGAAAAGAGAAGGAGAGGATGATGATGAATGACTGTCATGGACATCTCCAAGCAGCAGATACTTGCTAACACAGTCACTTTGCCGTCGTGAAAGATTGTAGACGAGTGCAATTTGCTCTCATTCACTTTTGGCTGAGGATGGATTCCTCCTGGCACTCCTGCCTGGGGTCCCTTGCGCGACCGTGAAGTGACTTTGAGGGGTATCCATTGTCGCTTGAAACGGGAGGCTTGCCTTAATGGCATGGTTGCCGGGATGAAACACCTGCTTGCTGAATCTGTTGCGCAGGGACATGTTCTTCTTTATTGAACGGATGGTCCATTCCTGGCGACTGCCTGGTGGGTGCGTTTGGCAGTATTGATGCGAAAAGATCTGCGTCTCACGGTGCGCAGCATCGGCAGCAGGCAGCATTCGTATTTGTTGACTTTGCATCAATTTATGACATCTCAACTCTGCTCAACGCTTCTAGTGATCAAGACCTCAGCCTCTGACTCAACAATCTTAGCAGAAAATATGCCGATTGGCCGCTTGGCTGCATCATGTCTGCCAAGTTGACGTACTTTCAGTGCAGGTCCTTTGCTGACAGTTGTTGGAGTTGCTCGATGCTTTCGGCTGATACCATTTCGCCTGAGGAGGCCTGTTTGTACAATTGAGCCACAATCACAACGCGGGTAGATGAAGGTTAGTCCCAACCATAAGACAGGGCAGTGTGCCCAGCGCTGTGTAATATAAAGCCACTATTTGTTTGATATCTCAAAATAGCGAAGCACGCATAGGGAACACTAGGGGTAGGAGAATACTAAAGGAATAGGGGAATGCTAGGGGAATATGAAGGGAATCATGAGGAATTCTCGGGGAATACCAAGAGAATACTAAGGAATTCTAGTGAAACACCAAGGGGATACTAGGGGAATACCAGGGAGAATGCAAAGGGGAATGCCAGGGGTACTGGGAGAATACTAGGGGTTACCAAAACATACAAGGAGGGGCATACTAGGAGAATGCTAGGGAAGCACTGAGGGTGCTGTGAAAATACTAGGGGACCGCAGGGGAATTCTAGGAGAATGCCAGGGAATTGCTAAGGAAGTGCTAGGAACATATTGAAGAACATGAGGGGAATCTGAGCGAATACTTCGAACATGTTGCAGCAATAGTGCTTGGGGAATATTGAGGGAATACTAGGGGAATACCAAGGGGATAGAGAATAGGGAACTGCTGGGGGAATGATAGGGAATCACCCAGGAACTGATTTTGGGGATTGTTTGAGGGAGTAAATAATACCAGGGACCACGAAACATGCTACAGGAGTACTGGGGTCACATGAGGGAAATGCTAGGAGAAAACTAGGATAATTTTTGGGGACAACTGAGGCAATACTTGGGAAATATTTTAAAGGGATATTTGGAATGCCAGGGACATCATTGAGAGAATATAGGTTGCTCGACAACGGGGGAAGGGAAAGATGTTTGCAGTGGCAGGTAAGAAAGCAGCTAGAGCGTGTGAGAGCAGTCCAACCCACAAAATCTCAAGGAAAACGAGAAAAACACAGCAAACAAACGCAGACACCAACAACCTCGAGGAAAACTAAAATACAGAACAACCCGGATAAAAATAAAAGCAACAAAGCAATGCCACCTTGAGAAGAACGAAGAACCAAAAAACAACAAACACACACAAATACAACAAGAACAAACACAACAACCGAAACCCTCGGGGAATGTCCAACTGCCAAGCCGACAACCTTCGAGGGTTTTGGTTTTTGTTGGTGTTTCTTTTTTGGTTGTTTGCTTTTTTGGTTTCCTCGAGTTTTTGGTCAATGGACAGCAAGAAGGTTCTTTGTGCATTTGCCAGAAGTCACGCTGCGGGAATAAGTTGGCTGCTTTGCGATTTGCAAAGTATCCCAACCATGAAACAATGACATAAAACCCAGTGCTGTCCTGCGGAGCACCGCTTCCCGCAAAATCGGTGGAAGCAGGGGGATGGTTTCTGTTGGTAGGCAACAGAAACCGTGGAAGCTTAATCCCCAGTAACACCACTTGAGGTGGCTCGAACACAGGTCGGAGTTTAGTTTTTGGACTGAGGATTGGGCATCAATGGCTTTGGCCGCATCGGCCGTCTGGTTTTCCGCGCAGCGGTGGCCAACCCAGATGCAGAGGCAAGTGCTTGCGAGCGGTGCCACCGCGCTTTGACAGTGATTCAGGGAAGGTCCGAGGCAAACAAGAGACTAGGAAACTTGGAGCCAACTTTTTTCTCAAGATGCAAATCTGTTCGCTTGGCTGCATGGAGAGTTTGCTTCTTGCATCGCCAGGTGCAGGCCATCAACGATCCTTTCATGGACGCAGCCCCAGTGACCGCTTTGTCTCAGACCATTTCGCTTTGCGTTGTGGGAGCGGCTCCGTCTTGATTGGCCAGTCGATTGGTCACTTGGTCGGTGGGTTGGTGGGTTGGTGGGTTGGTGGGTTGGTGGGTTGGTGGGTTGGTGGGTTGGTGGGTTGGTGGGTTGGTGGGTTGGTGGGTTGGTGGGTTGGTGGGTTGGTGGGTTGGTTGGTTGGTTGGTTTGTTTGTTTGTTTGTTGGTTTGTCGTTGTTTGATTGGCCGTTTGTCTGTAGAGATCTGCCTTTAGCATACTTTGTTGTTGCTCCCAAGCAACACACTGATGCCAAGACAGCAACAATCCCTGCGATCCATGGCTTGCTAGAGGATGTGAAGTACATGGTCTACCAGCTCAAATATGATTCCGTCCACAAGATGTTCGCAGGCGTGAACATGCTTGTTGATATCGTGGGCCGCGGAAGATCACAAGGTGATTGTGGGCTGGAGCCATTTGCAAGGCTTTCACCCGCTCACTACAAGTCATATCAAACTTTGCACTTCCCCGACGACACAGCTCACATTGACATGTCAAGAAGCAATGCATCCAGTCCCTGCACACACACACACACATCACTTGGGCTCCCAGCCTGGATGCGGATGGTTGCCGGGGGTCTCACTCACTTTTGTGTCAGAATATAACAGCGAGCCGAGCTGAGCTGCAGGCACCATTGCATGCAAGGAGGAGGGCGGCAAGGAGTTCTTGGCAGCTCGGTCGGCTTTTGTATCTTGATCCCTCTGAGTCGCAGAGATCAAAGGTCGAGCTTTTGCATTGCCCAGCAAAGGTTGTGAATGGCAAGGAAATTGCTGTCTTCCATGAGAAGGAGCCTGATTTCTTGTAGTCAAGCAGAAGACGTGTGATATGCATTTACAAGGCTAAATAGCAACGGTGCAAGTTCCAAGAGACGATCACTGTTTTGCGCTCTGTCAGAACGCCGAAACGAACCTGTACATGTGATGTGTGAAGTGACATAGGGTGGCCCGGAGAACATCAGATGTCGTTGATTGAAGTGACATGGTTTTGTCGTGGCATTGCATGGACTTCAAGCGTGTGGTGCTTCAACGGGACTTTGCGTGGGTATTTTGAAGGCTTTTGCCGTCGTAAGCAAATCCGCAGCCAACCAATCTGTAACCCGCATGCTGACATTTGTTGCAGCTAACAAGTGTTGAGGTCATGTGAGATGAAGGAACTCTCATAGAATGCTGCCTCCAAACATGCCCTCAAGAGTCCATCGCTTTTGACAGATTCGTTGCAGGACCCAGCCAGTATCAAGTGGGGAGAATCTGGTGCTGAGTATGTATGCGAGTCGACAGGTGCGGCCTGAGAAAGGGTTTGTTGTTCAATGTGACTTAAATTTGGCAAAACTACCTCACTTGGTACAGGCAACGTCCTAATTTTGCTTTGAGGTATGAGGCCAGCTTACTCTTTGACAAGATGCATTTGCGGAGATGCTCATTTTGAGACAGATTCCAAAGGCTTTGTGCCAACGGTCAGGCATCTTCACCACCAAGGAGAAGGCCATTTCTCATGTGGATGCCGGGCTTGCGATTCGCGGAGAGAGAGAGAGAGGCTGAGCTGCACCTGGGCGGTGGCGCCAAGAAGGTCATCATCTCTGCGCCGCCCAAGGTTCGGCGTCTGGTTCAGCATTTTGGTTTGGAGAAAAACAAGACGAGCTATAGGCCAAAGCCCAGAAAGGGCATTTCCAGAACTGGCATACGAGAAATGCTTGTCTTTGTCCTACTTGGCAAGAGAACATATGCAACAAATTCCGGCATGATCAAGCCCAGAGTTTTCTGCAGGATGACGTCCCGATGTATGTTGTGGGCGTCAACCACACTGACTACAAGAGCACGGACACCGTGGTTTCATGACATTGGAGAGGGATTGGTTGACAATTGAGACAGCTTCCGCCTGGGTCCATAAGAACATCTGAAGATTTGCCGAGAAATTCTTGCATGACCGCACATTTCATTTGAGGTTTCCAACGCATCGTGTACCACGAACTGCTTGGCCCCACTGACCAAGGCAAGACCGCTGATCGACATGATTAAGGATGCAATGTGATGTGAGCCTCTTGCGCATTCTGCTGGCAGGTGGTTCACGAGAAGTTCGGCATTATTGAGGGCTTGATGACCACCGTGCACGTACCTTGCCTTGCTTTCGGATGCACCTGCTTGGCTTGACACTTCCATGGGTGGTTTGTCAGGCAATGACCGCCACACAGCTCACCGTGGATGGCCCCTCCCGTGGTGGCAAGGAGCTCCATTGATCCCTGGGAGACGAAACGCTGTCTGCACTGGAAGGTGCTTTGAGTCGCATCTCTGGAGTCATTCGAAGGACTGGCGTGGGGGCCGCTGCGCATCCCAAAACATCATCCCCTCCTCGACTGGCGCCGCAAAGGCAGCGGTTGGAATCAACATGCCCGACTAATGCCTGCAAAAGCATTCGGCAGAAGAAACGAGCAGAGCAAGCAAACACATCTAGAGAACCTGATTGATGCATAATTCATTCGATTTTTTTTTCTTCACGTGAACAGGTCTTATGGAGCGACACAATTGAAACACACACACACACACACTCAAATTCATTCGGGACAAAACATGTGTGCGAGCCTTGTATTGTTTATTGCCCGACCGATATCGAAGACAGAACTTTCACCTTTTGCCGCAGCTCACCATGAGTTACATGGCTTTCATTTTGGATAGGGACCGTTGGCAGGCACAAATCCCATGAAACATTTCCACCCAAGCGCCCACAATTAGGATTAATACCCACATTATGCACGCCTGTCCACGCGCTGCAAGTTGGTGTGCTCATGCTCGTGCGGCGAGGAAGAGAGATTGCATCGCAGCGCACGCCAGCACCATTGATGCATGCATGTGTCGCATGAAGTGCATAATACTCAAACAGTTGTCTATCCAGTGACAGCTGATGATCTGACGCTGTCCCATGCCAAGCATGGTTGGCAGTGGCGCTATGTCAATGGGACTGCCCTCAACGCTGCTGCGGTTTTCGGGGCGACGGTTTAGTTTTGGTCCTCAGTCTTCTGTTGCGTTGTGGACCTCGGCTGGGAGGCTGCAAAGGACATCATGGCACTTTCTGCCCACCGTTAGCCTTCAGCATGATACGTGCGCATGCCTTTCTCTCATAGCGCATGCGTGGCCTTCGTCCTTGAGTCCAGCTAGAGTTACTGACTGACTTGGGCGAGGCCGTCGGCAAGGTGATTCCGGCAGTGAAGGGCAAGTTGACTGGGTTTCTTGGCATTGTAATTCGGAAGCGGTGTTGTCACGCGCAAGCGGCATGCCCGTGAATGAATCTCAGAATGGCCTTCCGCGTGCCCACCCCGGATGTCTCTGTGGTGGATCTCACCTGCCGTTTGGAGAAGCCGGCCAAGTACGAGGATATTGTGGCGGCGATCAAGGCCGTGCGTCCGAGTGGGGGTGTTTGTGTCAGTCCGTTTGAGTGCTCGACCTCAGGCTCTCAGATTTCAGCCTTGGCCAACACATTAGCTCTCTGAATTGGCCGTGCACGAAGCTTGGTACTTTACACCAACATTTAAGCTAATTGTGCGTGAAGGGTTTGTTCCAAGTATTTTGAGTGTCTTCTTTGACCCCCAAAATGCGGGTTTTCCCTTTGTTTTTGCTTAAAACCCTAGAAAAAAGGGGTGCCTTCCAAAAAGACACCCATCTCGGGGAGATTCTTGCGAACCTCATGCTCGCACAGGAAGCTGCTGCGGGCCCCATGAAAGGCGTGCTGGCTGGGCGCTCGGAGTCGAGCTGTCCATTTGAAAGTTGAATCAGCTTGGCTCTGGAGCTACATGGGTATGGGTCCAAATTAAACCAGGGGACCACAGGTTTTAGTCCTTGGTTCCTTTTGCAATTTGGGTACCGATTTTTGACTCAGCCGCATAGGACTGGACCGATGAGGAGGTAGTCTCCACCGATTTCGTCACTTGCAAGGCCGTGGAACGTGGCCATTGAGGGACCTTGGTGGCTTCATTTGTTATTGTCATGGTTGTTTGCCAGCAACTTTTCTAGCGAACAATTCATAAATTGGATGTACTCACCTAAATCCCATGCGAACTGGGGACATGGTGCGTATCGACGCAATCAGGCCAGCGGTGAATCAAAGTTTAGGCCTTGGAACTTACTCCCGGCTGATCCACTCGCATGATCTGCTTCAAATCGCTAAACAAAGTCATCTGTTTTGATGCGAGGAACGTGAGTTCGCATAACAACATACTTTGCTTCTCTATTGAGGGGATCTTGTCCAGCAAAAAGCGTCTCAGCTATGAACCCTGTCAGTCCTCCTCCGTCTTTGATGTGGGAGCAGGCATTTCACTGAACGCGACCTGGTGGCATTGTGCATCAATTAGTAAACAAGAGAGCTGAACAAATGCTCCACATGCTCCACATGCTCCACATGCTCCACATGCTCCAGATGCTCCGGATACCTGTGCTCATGCTCCACATTCTCGAATTGCAATGAGTGTACACGGTTTTTGTTAAACTTCACGACGTGTTTTTGCTGCCTTGCACCTGAGGACAACTTCGTGAAGCTGGTCAGCTGGTATGACAACGAGTGGGGAAGCGCCCTCAGCCTTGCCTTTCAATCGGCATGCCGGGCATGCAAATAAGCTATTCCGCTGCAGCGTATTGTCAAATCTTGAAGTTTCAGCAACCATCACTAGGGCAAATTATTCATGTAATTGAGACGAGACTTCAACGAAGCCGCAACTCATCAAAGCATCAATTATTTTGTTCGGCCTTCCGATGATTAAACGCAGACACAACATCAATACTCAAGTACATATTATAAATACAAATATAATATATATATATATAGGTATATATTGAGAATGGCCGCGCCCCGGCCCAGAGACGAGATTGTCGTCAAGGATGGGGTCGCAGGGGCTGCGAGAGTACAGGCGCCGCGTATCGTTCACCCGGATCAAAACAGAAGAGATCCCGCTTCGCAAAGAAGCTGCTGGCTTCGACCAGTTCTTGGTCGATACTGGAAAAAGGGCTGTTGGCTGAGTGCAGATGCCGCAGGATCTGAAGGCTTATGTCCCAAGATTGTCAGCCGGTCACGAGAGGGCGGAGCGAGCTCTTCGGGTGAGAGAAGAACCGTCCTGGTGATTGGTGGCAACAGCAGCGCCAGCGCGACGAAGATGAGCCTTCCAATCAGGGGAGTCTCTGGGAAATGACGAGATAGACACACCTACAAGCAGAGGCGGAAGTCGAAGGAGAGTCAGAAGAGCCGGGAGCTGGATTGACATCAACAAGGGTGATCCTACTCACCCCAACTTTCGGTCTCGGTAGTTGGCAGATGGCTTCCGTTCAAAAAGGCCGGCTAAGGAGCTATATACAGTATGTTCATAATTCCTGTTGCATCTTGTTTTTTCCTTTTCGACATGAAGCGGGCCCCCATCTAAATCATGCAAATCTCTCTGGCAGCGCTAGCTTCGCGCTAGCTCGGCGCTAGGTCGGGGACGTTAGTTGACGTGGCACGTGAGATGCGCACGCATGGCCCTTCTGTCCGGTGGCTCTCAGCGCTCGAGGCATTCCTTGCTCGCAACGCGAAAGTGCTGCGTCTGCCAAGAGATCTGCGCGTGTTTTTTGCGAAAGTGATGCGCCTGCCATGCCTGCCCTTCCGAAAGCGTTGCGCCTGTCACGAAATCTGTATCGGACCTTGCGACACGCGACCCTGCGAAAAGCTCCGCGCTAGCTCCGCGCCAGCGCCGCGCTAGCAGGCAGTTGCCAACTTGAACACGTGGGCACGTGCCTTGTTGGAGGCAATACCCAAGAAACCACGTGCATGTTTCTTAGCTGTAGTTGGTAGTCAGGCCAAGTAAAGCTATATACGCATTTCCGTTTTGCTACTTGCTGAAGATGTGGTGTAGAACATTGAATTTATTGTGTGTTTAAGCATCCTATAGCAGCAGCTTTGCTAAGAAAAGGCCCGCGCTAGTGCGCCTGTCAGTGATTTGTACGTTTCTTAGTCAAACGTATTGTGCCGCAATGGTTACGTGTTCATATTGTTTCGGCCCGAATGATACGGGCCCATGGAATGGCGATTTACGCTACAAAACTGGGAGCCAACATTTTGACAACCAGCCAGATGCGGAGGCGCTGAAGGCTGACTCGGTACTCCGCAATGCCTATGAGCTGACTTGGCTGGGCGCGATCGGGTGTGAGAAAGGTGACAAGGTTCGCTTCCTTAGTCGGCTCATTCGCTGCAATTTGCAGCAAGGTTCTAGTGCCATTTTTGTCGAGCCCGGCAGGAGGCATGTTGATCTGCCGGCGCACGAAGCGTGGTCAGTTGACGTGCAGATGCAGCAGCCGCGCAGTGCGGCATTGCCGAAGCATCAATCATCCCTCTATCCGTCGCAGGCGACGAGAGCTGCGTACCTATTTCTAGATCGCTTGGGCATGAGTCATGCGGTGAAGAATGGATGTGTGAACTGAGAGTTTCATGCAAGACCTGTCCTCTCTGCTGTTCATGTTTCCAGAAGAAAGACGGCAGCGAGACAAACGACAGACACCAAGTGCCCAAAACAGAAGCATGGCTGCCGTTGAGGCGGACTCTTGCAATGAAACTTTGGATTGAAACCAGACATTGAGAAATCTTTGAATCCAACGAAAGATGACAAACTCAGGTTTCACGAATGTACACCTTGATGATTACACTTGCGAGCCTACCCGAGCCCACCACAGCCCGCCTGGAACCTGACAATGTCCACAGTCTCGCATTGCTCACGCATGAGCAGAGGAACCTGACAAAATGACGTTCCGAAACCAACAGCCAGCATGTTGATGACATGTCGCAAATGACATTTCTACTTTGCAAAAAATATGACAGCAGCAGACAGCACCATACATTCACAAGCCCACAATATGAGTGTCTAGAGCAGATTAGCTGGCGGTTCTACTGACGGAGTTTGCGAGGAAGATGCCACCTGATTCACTTGGAATACATGGCAACGGAAGCTTAAGCCGTCTTCAGCACTTCCACGGAGATCAGTCGCCCCTCCCAGACAGATCCCACAGCTAGGATCAAGCGCTGTCGTCTGTCAGGGCAAACTCCAGTCTGGAAACTCGCATGCTTGCCCACTGTCAGTCATTTGCGCGACAACTTGTCAAGGCAGAGGAGACAAACGATGAGAACACTCAGTCAACTTTCTTTTTCACAGCTGAAACACAGGCGTGCGGCACCTGCCTTTGTTTTAAGTGTGTTCGCATCATAGAGTTGGCTTGCCCAGGATACTCCAACAGACTAGTGGAGCTGGCTGTTCACATGAAGAAGGTTGATGGCTGAAGGTGCAAGCTCTGATTGCTACCGCCTTTGCCTAGGGCGCGTGTGAGTACATGGAGCTTCTGGGTAGGGGTCGTAGGCTGCAGTTTAGCTTACTGCACTGGATTGCGCAGGTGACAGCGGAACTGGTTCATGGAGGACGCGCTTGATTGTCAGAGTTTGACTAGCTGATCACAAAGTGAGAAAAGATGAAGTCTCACCCCAAGCTGCGCTGCTCATATCAACGGCTTCTGCAGCTGCACGTGAGTTTGAGATAGGTACTATTTACAGCTAACTTGTCATCAAGATAGCGTGCTTTGATTCTGATGTGATTGCCACCAAACAGCTTGTTGGACGTATCTAGGAGAAGCCCGAAGATGTCCATGCTGCGCTTGAAGATTTGCTCCGTTGCCTCCAGTGATCAAAAGCCCCGCATTTCCCTGCCTTATCTAATTTTGTGTCGCAAAGATGCCCGTCGGCCGCGTTGCCGCATATATGCAGCAGTCTGAATGCATACCTGAGCCTGGATTCGCTTTCTCTTTCTGCGAATCTTCTGGCCGAGGTATGGGAATCAATGGCTTTGGCCGTATTGGCCGTCTTGTTTTCCGCGCTGCAGCCGGCAACTCGGATGCCGAGGCCTGGCCGACGAAAGACGTTTGTGGGGCTCGGGCGAGTCACGTGACAGGTCAAGGCCATCAACGACCCCTTCATGGCAGCGGGCCTAGATGAGAGAGAAAGGCTCCTTTTTTGCAAGGCCCAAAGGTCTCGTAAAGAGGAAGATGTTCTTTTCCTCGTTTTCTTTTCGTGTTGCCATCTTTGCATTCTTGCTGTGCGCTTTCCAGCCTGTTGTGTCATGCCTTTTTGGCATGATAGGTGGGCGATGCCTGTTTTGCTGCTTCGCAGACCTCCGCTGCCAAGTGACTCTGCACACACGGAGGCAATCGCTCTTTTCATTGCACCATGCTTGTTCATTGTTCTTTCACTCTCTCTCGCTCTCTCTCTCTCTCTCTCTCTCTCTCTTCCGTTAAAATACGTCGATACTTTACTACAAGTGCAAATGTTGTTCTTGCTGTCACAAACACAAATGTAGTTTCCCAGCATGCGCTCTTTTGCTTGTAGACTCAAGGCCTGCGGTCGGGTAGTGTACATCATGCATGTACAAGGGACAAGTAGTACAGCCGGCCCCTTGGTTAAAAGACCCTGTAGTGTCTTTTCAACCATATCCAGAAAGGGGAAAAAGTGCAAAGGGTTCAAAGTAGTTTTGACTGCAAAAGGATCGAAAGTAGTATAACTACAACTCTGCTGGCTGTAGTCCGCTGACTCTCAAAGATCAAAAAAGCTGTAGTATGTACAGGCTGCTCTCAGTAGCTCTCCTGTTCAGGCCTCAGTAGTGGTACATCCTGATGTAGTTTGGACCTGGAGGTCCAAAGTTGTAGTGAAGCTGTGGTGCTGCTTCGCTGATGTAGCATCACCTGTAGTTAGGTGTGCTTAGTCCAATGCTGGACTCTGTAGCCTTGTTGCTGACCAGTGCGGTGGTCAAGGCTGGCGTAGTGGTTGGTAGTGAAGGTAGTAAGGAAGTCAGGGCCTCCTCGAAGACAAGTGTCGTTGATCTCTGGAGGTGGGAGTGGTTGTTGGAATGTAATGAGGAGTTTGTGTAGTAGTAGTTTGTGTTGCATGGGAAGATTTGTGGCAGTGAGTAGTGTGAAGCCGTAGTACGTGGAACTCTTGTGCATGATGGTGTTGATTGCTTTGTAGTGGTGATCCTGTAGTTGTTGTGGTTGGTCGTAGTAGCTGAGTAGTTCAGGAAGGTGAAGAGGCATGTGGTAGTTCCAGATGTGAGAAATCCCGCAGTTGGCATGGCTCACCTCACAGCTTGTACATGACTCTGGGCCGCATCGGCTCAATTCCCCCGACAGGCCTACAAGGACATCCACACCTCTGACCCGCTCTACAGGAATTTCAACAAGCCGAAGCTGACCATCAGGCGGATGTTTGGAGGAACTTCGTCCTCTGGGTCCACCCAATCATTCCCTTCTGCGGCTTCATCGGCCCCTTCGGTGCGGTCTATGTCTACAACTATGTCACAGAGGTCCACGTTCGACCTCAACGGCAGGCCAACATTGCAGAGGCCACCAAGGAGGAGGCTGCAGTCGAGGAGGAAGCAGAGCATGAGCTCGCTGACGAGGCTCATGGCAGTTTGGAGGACACCATCAGAGAAGAGGCGGAGGTGCTTGCGACTGAGTTGGAACAGGCGGAGGCTGAAGGTGTTAACGGTGAGTTGCTTGAGAGTGTTGAAGCTGGTTTTGAACAAGCTGCAGAAACGTTGGTAACCATGAGGGAGGCCCGCCACAAGCTAGCCGCAGTTCGAAAAGACGGAGGCTATGGGCGCCCTGGTGGTGATGGAAAGACTTTGCCAGCTTCTGCACGGAAGGCCTCGGGTAGGTTCCCTTGCTTCGATTGCGGACGGCGTGGGCGCTGGCAGGGCGGCGAAGGTTGTCCAAAACCTGGTGCTGGACTGGGACGCAAGCCTGGAGCCTCAAGCAAGGCGAAACCGGTGAAGCAGGTGAAGGTGGTTGAACATGGAGATGGAGTTGGGCACCAAGCCAATATGACTGAGAACGCACCCGTGCACAATGTTGCAACCCTAGAGGTGTTGAATTTGGAGCAGGCTTTGCAGTTTTCGCGTGAAAAGCGAGCCGCAGCTGGGAACATCCCCGAGGACAAGTTATTGGTTGGAGCTTTGGATTCTGCATGCAACAGGACTTGTGCTGGACCTGTTTCTGTTTGGTTGCATGGATACCTGGAAGCCCTAGAACAACATGCCCCTGCCTATGTGAAAGACCTGGTGAAACACGTTGATGAGTCGGAACTGTTTCGGTTTGGCAATGGTGGTGTTGTTGCAAGCTCATCAAGGTGCCGGATCCCTATGGTTGTGGGCAACACGTTGATCCTCATGCGGGTGTCCATCGTTCCTGTCAACTCCCTGGGCTGCCTCATTGGAAGGGACATGCTTGACGCGGTTGGTGCAGTGCTTGATTTTGGTCAGAAGACGTTGGGATGTCGGTTCATCAACAAGGAGACCATCAAGCTTGAGCACATGCATGCTGGACACTTCAAGTTGGAGTTGCAACCCTCTGTTTGGCCGAAACCCCGGAGAGGTGCTTGGAGATCTATTGGTTTGGATGATGTGGTTGAAGTGCAAGCTGATCGGCGTGAATGGCTTGAATGGAAATTATCTGTGCCAGGTCCCAACAAGCATGAGGTGAAGGTCACAGAGCATGTGTTGTCTGAGACGGGCTTGGAGATGGCACGTTGCTTGAACTGGGAGAAGATGTGCGTATCGGCTACTTCAGCTCGAAGCCAGTCAGCCCGCAAGTGTGCTCGCTGCATGGTAGAGACCAATCGGCATGCCCCTGGTTGCAGAAACCTTGGAATGATGTCGTGCTTGATGAGGTCTTGTGTGTAGAGGAATTTGAGGTCGATGTGTTTTGCTTGTTTGCTGGCGCCTTGTCGTGTAGCTATGCTTTTGCCTGTTGTGGAGTCTGTGTGAATGCGTAGGTTGAGCTTGCTGCAAATGTTGGTTTCAAGTAGGAAGTTCCTGAGGTGTAGTCCCTCATTAACTCCTGTGCATATTGCGTAAAGTTCTGATTCTGCTGAGCTTAGTGCTATTGTAGCCTGTGTTCTGCTGCCGAATGCAACTGTAGTTCCAAGGAAGTGGATGTTGAAACCTGAAGTGGACTTCCTGGTAGTAGGGCATCCTGCCCAGTCGGCATCGACATGAACGTCGAGATCCAGGATGTTGTTGGTGTTTGCTCTGAGTGTTGTTGTTGGTTCTATGGTGAATTTGTAGTGCTTGGTGCCGTGCAAGTAGCGTAGTAGATGTTTGACTCTCTTTTGTGAAAGTTCTGTAGGTGCTGTGAGGTCTCGTGCTAGTTCTTTTGTGGAGTATGCAATGTCTGGTCGTGTGTATGCTAACCATTGAAGTTTGCCAACAATCCTTCTGTACCTTTTGTGTTGTTCGTGGTCAAGTAGTGCTTCATCTTCTATTGTTGGTTTGTAGTGTGCAATTCCTGGAGTGTTCACTGAGTTGCAGTTGTTCATTCCAGACTCCTCAATCATGTTGTCGATGTAGGAGTCCTTTAGTCCAAGATTGCAGTAGTTGCCAAAGTGGTCGATGTTTCTTCCAAGAAACTGTTGTGATTTGCCAGGTTCGAGGTAGCCAATGTGCTTGAGTAGTACCTGCTTCTGGATGGCCTCGAAGGTGGAGTCGACAGTAGTCTTGTCACCAAGTACCAAGAGGTCATCCACGTAGACCATGATGTAGCAGTCGCGAGTCGCATTGGTGTAGACGTTAGGTTCTGACTTTAGTCTTACAAAGCTGAGCTTTTGTAACACTTCAGCCAGGTAGTCCTGCCATGGTTTTGGTGAACTGCGTAGTCCATACATGGCTTTCTTTAGTCGCCAGATTTTGTCCTGTTGTGGACAAAGTTCTTTAGGTGGCCAAAGGTAGACGTCACGTTGTTTACCGTCGTGGTCTTTTGCGATGGGTGCGTGTAGAAATGCTGTAGAGACGTCGCCTAGTCGCGCTATCCAGTTTGGTCGTGACATTTGTAGTGCGAGAAGTGTCCGGAGTGTCGTGAACATTGGTGTAGAGGCGTAGACGGAGTCTTCGTCCTCGATCTTCTCTGTGTAGCCTTTTGCGACGATTCGGCTTCGTACTCCTGGTCCTTTCTTTCTGTGTACCCATCTTGTAGGTATCGCTTCTCTGATGACGTTGTCGTCGACGGTAGACGCATCTACTTCGTCGTAGACGTCATGTAGCTTCATTTGGTTTGACTCGTGTTTCATTCCTTCCAGTAGTTGTGTTTCGTCGTAACCTTCGTTGTCGAAGATTATGGGTTGGTCTTCTGAGGTGTCGTCGTTTGTGTAGGGGGTGATGGATTTTCCGTTGGGAAGTGTCACTGCGTTAATTTTCTGTCGTAGTGGTGGTGGTTCTTTGGTTGCTTGCTCCGTTGATCTGATTGTAGTGTCCTTTGAGGTCTTCTGTGCTTTAGTTGGTTGCAGTACTTCTTCCGGAGTTAAACGTCGTAGTGTTTGTCGAGGTGGTGCTGGTAGTGGTGGATGTTGTCGTCCGGTTGGTGAAGTAGCCATGGGGCTATCTGGTAGTGGTTGTGAAGTTGACGTCGATGTTGACGGAAGGCGTGGAGGTGACGTAGTGCGTTGTTGTTTCGTTGCTGGTTCGGCAACGATGTCGTCTGCGATGTTGGTCTGTTGTCCTGCGTCTTGTGTAGGTTGTTTCTGCTGGATTTGCGTATCCAGTAGTGTCGCAAATGACGGATTGACCTTTTGGTGCCCAAGGTGTACCTGAGACCTTGTTTAGTAGTGCAAGGTCATATTTGAAGTCAGGTTGTAGTCGTCTGACTGTCCTTGCTTTTAGTACGCCTTGTTCTGTTGCGACGTAGTTTTCTGCAGTCTCCGAAACCTTTCCGAGCCATATGCATTTCTGCATACGTAGATCGGCTTTCGGAAGTTTCTTGTGCTGTGGTGGAAGGTAAAGTAGTGTTTCGCCAAATTCGCAAATTGCTCGCTCGTAGTTTCTTCCCCAGCGGCGTTCGAAGCTTGTGTAGCCATCGGAGTGGATGACGTAGCGATTCACAGTCCATGCTGCGTGTCGTACTATCCAAGGTAGTAGACAATGCTTTGTGGACATTGAAATGCTGTAGTTGCTTTCAACTTGCGCTTTGACGACGCGGATTTGTCCGAGAAGTGTTCTATGTAGTCGCCCAACGCTTCCTTGACTGTTGCTGCTGTAGGATTGTGAATGTCGTACAGTCATTGAGCCGACTTTGGATGCTGTTGCTTTTAGTAGTGCATTGAGTGTGTCCTTGTTGTCGCTTTGTAGTATGCCTTGTGTTCTTCCGCATTCAAAGGTGAATGCTTGTAGGTTGTTGATCATGTAGTCCATCATTGATGGTTTGTCCGGAACCAATACCGCCATGCACAGTTGTGTAGTGACACCAACTGCTGTTAAGACTGGTATGGTCTTCAGTTGTGATTTGATGTAGGCAAAATCCACTTGGATGACGGGTTGTCGTGATTGTTGTTACTTGTAGTTGTCCTGGCGTCCTTTGCCTTGCACGCAAATTGGACACCAATTTCTGTATGGTAGGTGTGTCAAGTTGTGCTCTGCTCTTTGTTGTGGAGTTGGTTGTTGAGGTTGTCGGAGTCCTCTTGCTTTGTGTGCTTCGTGATGTTCGTGGTATTGCTCTTCGTCGTAGTCCTCTTGGAGGTATTCGTAGTCTTTCATGATGGATAACCTTGTTGTGCCTTTCCATTGGAATGGTAGTGCGGCATTGCCCGTGACTGTCCAGTCATCTTTGCGTTGTGAGACTTCGCCGAAGCTGTTGTTTGAGATTGTAGTTCGGAAGGGTTCGAGAGTGTTGATTGATGGGTGTCCTGGTCCACCTGTAGGTGTGAACAATGTGGTTCGTAGTGTGACGTGATGTCTTATCCAGTGTTCACCTAGTCTTTCCCAGTAGTCTTGGTTGTCTTCTTGTGCCGTTGGTGGTCGATGTATCGTTGGTTTTGCTTGCGTAGTGTCCAATTCTATGGATGGAGCTGCTTTGGGTCTCCATACCTTTGGTGGAGTTCGTAGTTGTAGGCATGGTTTTGTCGTAGGTGTCTCTGTTGTAGGTTGTGGTGCTGGGCTTTGTCGTGGTGGTGTTGTCTTTGTAGTCAGCCTATGTGTAGATGTGACTTTTCTTCGGAATCTGGTTGCTCCAGTCCAGTCATCACCTTCAAGTCTTCTTTGTAGTTCCTGTTTGGAAAGTTGTTTGGTGTTCTCTTGTAGTTGCTCTTGTTCTTGCCCTTGTCTATTGATGATGGTTAGTCGCCAATCATCTAGTTGTTCTTCTGGTATTGGGCATCCGTTGTTGTGTGGTGTGAACAGTGCTTTGCGTGGTCGTTTGTGGACTCGGATGGCGTAGTCACCATCGAGTTTCCAGTAGTCAGTGTTTCCACCAAGGATTCGTCTTAGTCCTTGGTCTGTGTGAGTTAGTGGTGCAATTTGTTCTTGTCGTTGTTGTTGTTTTGTCTCATGCGTAGGCTGGATTACAGCAATGGATTTTCCATTGTCTGTAGTCATTGGGTAGATGTCGTGTCCTGTAGGTATGTTGATCTTTTCTGCTCGTAGGTAGAAAAGTCCTGAGTGTCGAATAAGCTGTGCTTGTTGTTGTCCATGTGAGATAGTGCAGTGTCTCGGGTTGAAGTCCAGTCCATATCCTCTATCAAGTAGTCTTGATGCACTGAGGATGGGGTACTTCATCACAGACGTAGTAGGGTATCATGATCCTGAGGTTGTCCTGCTCGTAGGGAACGTACTTGATGCCGTAGACGGGGATCTTCTTGTTGGTCACAGTGTAGAGTTGTGGAACTGATTCTCCACAAGGTCGTAGTGGAAGATCCGGTGCGTAGTCCTTTGGGCAAACATGTGTAGACGCTCCTGAGTCAATCAGTAAGTGGTGGTAGGACTTGAAGTTGGAGTACATAATGTAGTGAGTGATGTTGTTGTCAAGTTTTCCTCGTTTCTGTGGTTGTGTTGCTGCTGCAATGTTGAGGTGTAGTTGAGGTCTGTCCTCTTGTAGGTGCTGTTGATAATTGGTGCTGTGGTCATTCCATGATGTTGTATGAGTTGCTCTTTTCCCAAGTAGTGATTTGGGTTTGTGCTTACATTGTAGCGGTCTTCCTTGTCTGATGTGTCCTATGGTGAGGTGGACTTGTTGATGCCTCCGATGTAGTTTGCTTCACCTTCATGACTGTAGTCATTCCAGTCCCTCGTAGTACCGATCCGAAGTGTCGTGCATGTCTTGAGGTAGTTCCTCATTGTTGTCCTGAGTTTCTTGTTCTTGCTCAGGATGTTGTAGTTCTTCTCCTTCTCCGATGTGCCAAACCGGCACTCTGCAATCCTGCGCCCATTCCTTTTGCTTTTGATTTGCCGTAGTTGCTTTGGCCTGAGTAGCCTTTGCTTGATCCGTAGCCTTTGGATCCGTAGCCTTTTCCTTTTCCTTTGTTGTAGCCATTCTTGTTGTATCCTCCTCTGTTACCTTTGTCAAATCCTTTGTAGTGGCCTTTGCTTCTGTACTTGCCTTTTCCTTTGTTTCCTTTGTAGGATCCTTTGCCTCCATATTTGCTTTTGCCTTTGTAGTTTCTTCCTTTCCTCCAAATGTTGTCCACGTCCATGGGTGCTGTTCCACCATTGTAATTTTGTGCCAACCGCTGAGCTCGCTCTTGAGAATGCAGATATGGTCTTGTAGTAGTCCAGGATGACAACTCTGATCTCGTTGTAGTTCGTGATCTGTCCAGCACGTAGTTGGAGATGTTGTTGAAGTGCTCCTTTGGTCTTGTTGAGTAGTATTGCAATCTTCACTCCATCTGGTAGTGCTGTGCCGTTGTCTTTCTCGTAGCGGTTGATGTCATACTCCCACTGTAGGAATTGTTCTTCAAATTGTGCTTCATTGAATGTAGGTTCCAGTAGTTTGGTGAGGTAGCCAACACTGCGTGTTCCTACTGGTAGGCTGAACCTGTTGTGCAAAAGCCGTAGTGTTTCACATCCATTGGCATTGTAGCGGTTTTGTCTGACCACTGTAGCTGCTGCACCTTGGCAGATGTTGATGAGGATGTAGTGTAGATCTCGTGAGAGGTCTACTGCTTTTGCTGCCTGTGTAGGGTCGCGTATGTGGGCTCTGATGTCTGCATCTTCAATTTGTCTTGTAGCTGCTTGTGCTAGTTGTAGTACCATGTCGAAGTCTCGGTCGATGAGTCCGAGGTATGCTTGTAGTTTGAACAGCCACTCTTCGTACTGTGAGTAGTCACCAGTGAAGAACGGTGGTGGCAGTTTGTATTTGTGTAGCCTTTGGACGTCTTCCTGCTCCTGTGTTGTTCCCGTAGTTGTGGCTCCTATTGTCTCCTCTGCTGTGGGCCCGTTGTCTGCTCCTGTAGTTGGTTGTGCTGATGCTGCTGCTGGTTCTCCTGACATGTCGTAGTAGTTGGGCATGTGGTTGCCTGTGCAGTTGTAGTACTTACTGCTGTTACTGGAGCTCCCCTATGCTTAGGGTCTCAGCTCCGCTACCACGTTAAAATAAGTCGATACTTTACTACAAGTGCAAATGTTGTTCTTGCTGTCACAAACACAAATGTAGTTTCCCAGCATGCACTCTTTTCCTTGTAGACTCAAGGCCTGCGGTCGGGTAGTGTACACCATGCATGTACAAGGGACAAGTAGTACAGCATGATATTTGACATCTTCCTCTCTCTCTCTCTCTCTCTCTCTCGCTTTCTCGCTTTCGTTGTCATGCCGCTGGGAACCACGAACAAGGGAAGACAGCAATGGCCAGCGCGCAAATCGCAGACCGTTGACCCTTTCAGGCAAGGCTTCGAGGTGAGACGGTTTGGCTGGGCCACGTTCGTGTCGACCTGTGGATCCGCATGTGGCATTGCCACTTTTTTGACTTCCGCCCTTGCTTTTCTTTGTTCGCTTTTTTATTTTCGTTGTGTGTTTTCTTTCTATGTTCTCTTTATGCGTGGCAGGCTTAAGTGGGTCGTGCATGCGGGCCTGCCAATGTCCCTCACTGGCGTCGCGCCCAAGTGCACCGCCGTAAGTTGCAGTGCTTCCTGGGGTTGATTTGGGCTACGCAGAATCAGCTCATCCTTCATTGCCGCCACTGTTGTGCTGTAGCTGAAGCTCAAGAATGACAGGATTTGGGTGTGTTTTTCAGCCGGGGGGTCTACCGTGGTGCGTGCAGCAAGCGGCGTTGTGCCTCTTGCGGACTCACTTGGCTTCAGCGAGCTTTGAATTTGTTCGGGGTGGTCTGCCGTCGTTAGGGGCTGCTGACGCTTGGGATGATGCAAGCAGAGCCGGCTTGGGGGGCGTGGTGGACGGCTTGGGGTTCTGTTGGCAGAGCTGACAGCGGACGTTCCGGTGGAGTGGACGGTGGGCTGTTTGGCTGACGGAGCCAGCGTTTCAGACGAAACTCATCGGGGTCCCGGTGAGTGTCATATCAGCAGCAGACATTCTTCTTGGGTGTAGGCTTACGACCTTATGAAGTTGCGTTAGGCAAAGCCGCAGCGGCGGGCTGGACAACACCCCTCTCTTTTCAAATATGCGGGTCTGTTGTCCTTTTGGCTTGATGCTGTTGTGGTCCATAACAAAAAGGGCTGCCACGGGCCCGCTGTGTTCCCAGGGTTTTGAGCTTTGTCGGAAACCTGCGTTTGATGAGATTCAATAAGAAGCAGTTCTTGTTGTTGTGAGGACTTGAAGTACATGGTGTACCAGCTCAAGTACGACTCCGTGCATGGGAGGTTTGCAGGCCAGACGTGTGTGTTGCAGCTCTCAGTTTGTGCCGTGCTCTCTCTGCGAAGGCACGATCGCAGCCAAGGAGGATGGCGGCAAGGAGTTCCTGGTGACTGGGCAAATGAATTGAGCAGCGCCTAAAACCCCGCGTTGGCCATTCTAGTAGAGAGTTCTACGGGGTGCTAGCAATGCCCTACGGATACAAACCGTTCAGGCCATGTTAGTGGAACCACAAGTCAACTGTTTTCAGGCGGTGCTCGTTTGCGTTTCTGCCAAGGTCGTGAACGGCAAGGACATTGCTGTCTACCATGAGAAGGAGACGTGAAATGCCAGAAGTTTCAAGGGATATTGTGCCAGAAGAGCAGTGAGACGCTTTTACTGGATTTTTGGGCTCACTGCTTGGTGTCCTTGAAGATGTTGTGGGGCGGGAATCGCATCTCACAAACCAAGCCACAGCTTGTGTCCCTAAGCACAGCCTTTGAATTGAGAGGACCCGGCTTCCATCAAGTGGGGCGAAGCTGGTGCTGAGTACGTGTGCGAATCCACAGGCCATGGCAAGGATCAATCAAGGCAGGATGCATTGCCAGCGAACACCTCGTACATGGCTTCAGGCATTTTTACCACCCAGGAGAAGGCGCGTTGAGAAATGCGCGCACTCGCACTGAAAGGGCTTGGTGGGCTGAGGGGGGCTGGGGCTTGGTGGGGGCCAATGGCTCAAGGCGCTGAAACAGGCTGCTCAAGCCACAGTCCCTTATTTTGCCTTCGCTGTTGAAGCGCAGCGGTCTTGACTTTTGCGCAGGCCGCGCTGCACCTGGGTGGTGGCGCCAAGAAGGTGATCATCTCCGCGCCACCTAAGGCTGGATACAATCATTGAACACGAGAGTTTTCGCGGAACTCCCTCGAGGACGAAACACCCATGTACGTGATGGGGGTGAATCACACAGAGTACAAGGCCAGCGACAAGGTTGCCGGGCGCCTTTGGCTCTAGCTCACACATGAACTGTTATTCAGAGCAATGCATGCTGAGGTCTCCAACGCATCCTGCACCACCAACTGCTTGGCCCCGCTGACGAAGGCATCTGGGATCGCGAGGTCTTAGGACAGTGCCGTTTTTGATGGAGTTTGCATCTGTGGAGTTTCCTATTCCACCCCGGGGTTATACACCCTAGGGAGACCAAAAGAATCCCACATAAGCCAAAATAACTAGGTTTTTATCTGGATATAGGCCCGAATAGGCTGATTTTTTCAGAGGGCGTGGCAGCCCTTGGATTGCATCGCCAGGTGATCCACGAGAAGTTTGGCATCGTGGAGGGCCTGATGACTACGGTCCACGTCACTTTCCTGGCTGTGAACAATTTCTCAATATGGCTGTGGTTGTCAAAACCGTTTTGGGATCCCATTTTGGGGATTGGGTGCACCACCCATTTTGGAACCTATTTTAGTGGGGATTGGGATGTGCGCTGGGGGTACGGGCTTTTGACCCATGGCCATGTGCCGCCGGGACGTGTCGCCGGGGCTGACGGCGACGTCGTCTCGAGGCGACCACCGCCACTCAGCTGACTGTGGATGGCCCTTCGCGCGGTGGCAAGGCAGTTTGGGAGGGAACACTATGGGCAAGTATGTACGCTTTTGGGGAATGGCGGGCATGTGTTGCCTGGAGCCAAGGGCTCTTAGGTCGCTTGAAGGTTAGTCTTGTGATTGCTCCGGCCAGGACTGGCGAGGTGGCCGTTGCGCCTCTCAAAACATTATTCCTTCATCCACTGGGGCCGCCAAGGCGGGAAAACGCCAATCACCGCTCGCGACGAGTGTGCAAAGCAAGGGATGGAATACCACAGGCCGTGGGCAAGGTCATCCCTGCTGTCAAGGGCAAGCTCACAGGGTGCTTTGGCTGCACGCCAGATCCGATGCAAGCTCACAGAGTAAAGAGCTTTGCGGGCTTGTGGTCAAAACCGATTGAAGAGCGTGCTCAAAGCCGATTCATCAGCCAGCAGCAACTGGGGTCCCTGCTTGCAGTATGGCCTTCCGCATCCCAACTCCTGACGTCTCTGTGGTGGACCTCACCTGCCGCCTGGAGAAGCCTGCCAAGTATGCAGACATTGTGGCAGCAATCAAGGCGGGCGTTGCTTGAAGCTGGTACAGTGGCAGCGCTATTGGACGATCATTCAAATTGTAGCAATCAAACAAGCTGTTCGGCCTCAAAAAACAAATGTGTGGTGTTTGCTTAGCGCTCTCCAGAATCCCCCTTATTCCCCTAATTCCTTGTAGTTTTGTGATCTCTTGTTTTTGTGGTCTTTGGGTTTGCGGGTTCTTTGGTCCCTTGGTTCTCCAGTCCTTTGGTCCATAAGCTCTTAGGTCCCCCCGTTAGTTCTTGGTTTCCACTTGTCCGTTGATTGTGTTGAAGCACTTTTACAGAACGTTTCGTTCTACCCCAACGGGGAATTTGTGTCCAACGCTTTCCAGCAAGCAAGGAAAACCAGCCAGCAAGCAAGCAAGCAAGCAAGCAAGCAAGCAAGCAAGCAAGCAAGGAAGCAAGCAAGCAAGCAAGCAAGCAAGCAAGCAAGCAAGCAAGCAAGCGAGCGAGCGAGCGAGCGAGCGAGCGAGCAAGCGAGCCAACGAGCCTAGACCGATCTTAAACGAACCTTATACCGAATCAAGACCATCCTAAGCAGCCACCCCCAACCAACCTTAAACCAACCCTAACACATCCTTAGTCAACCCTCTTTCTTCGCACCGCAGCCATCCAATGCCCGGGAATGCCCGAGCGTTCATTGGCCTGTCCAATGTGGAAGTGCCAAAACGATGGCAGGCGCAATGAACTTCAGGCGTTTTAGTGCAAGAGTGCAAAGTCAAACCAGGCGTTTTGCGGGGGCCTTTCTTTTTAAAACGGAAACTGCCCCGCAACAAACTGCCAAAGAGTGAAGACCCCGCCGGGGACGGAAGCACGTTCAGTGAACAGATCATCGCAGCTGTGTCTTTCCCCTTAGAAATGGCTATACTATTTCAAGACTGCAGAAGTTCAACTTTGTGGTTAGCCAAAAGGTAACACGCCTGGCACATGAAGCTCAATCCCTGGCGTTGCAACACAGGCGCACGCCCGCTGCAGCCTTTTTGTGCAAAAACGCCGGCCGAAGTGCATGGTCAATCAGGGGAAGCCAGGATTGTTCTCTTGCCATCAAACATAGCTCAAGGGGCAAGTATTGAGCTCAAATAAAGAAATAGTGAATGCCACATGTCGATTTGGCGTATGAGTCGCGAAGAGGGCACACGCAAGGGCGCACGCATCCGTGACTTTTTCTCTCAAAGTTAGCAAGGTTTTTTTAAAGAGAGAGGGGTCCGTCGAGAGGGGATTCCCTTGTAAGTGAAGGTAACCACCTCTCCTTCTCCTTCTCCTTCTCCTTCTCCTTCTCCTTCTCCTTCTTCCTCTCCTCTCCTCTCCTCTCCTCTCCTCTCCTCTCCTCTCCTCTCCTCTCCTCTCCTCTCCTCTCCTCTCCTCTCCTCTCCTCTCCTCTCCTCTCCTCCCTCTCTCCTCTCCTCTCCTCTCCTCTCTCTCCTCTCCCTCCTCTCCTCTCCTCTCCTCTCCTCTCCTCTCCTCTCCTCTCCTCTCCTCTCCTCTCCTCTCCTCTCCTCTCCTCTCCTCTCCTCTCCTCTCCTCTCCATCCTCTCTCTCTCTCTCTCTCTCTCTTTTATCTACGCCCTTGATTGCCCCTTCATTTCCTTCTCATGTCCCGTCATTTCCTTTCATGTCCCGGCACTGCCTATCATTTCCTCGTTATGTCCCCCTTATTTCCTGTCAATTCCACCTTCATGTCCCTGTCATTTTCTCGGTACTTCGGCTTCATGTCCCACTCATTGCCAGCCATTTCCCTACATGTCCCTTCGCGTCCGTTGATTTCCTCATCACTGTCTGTCATTTCCATTCGTTTCCCCTGCATTCCCCCTTCCTCTCCCCTGCATTTCTCACACCTCATCTGTTACAGCTTGCCTCTATCAATTTGTGGGAAATTTGGGTGGAAATTGGGGGGGGGGGAGGAAATTTGGAGGAGGGGGATTTTTGGGGAATTTGCGGGGAGATTTGGGGGGAACTGGGGGGGGGGGGGAAATTGGGGGCAAGTCGGATGGAACTTGGAAATTGGGGGGGGGGGGAATTGGCGGGAAATTAAGGGGGACAATTGTGGGGAAATTGTGGGGCATTGGGGGGAAATTTTGCGAAATTATGTGGAAATTTGGGAATGTGGGGGGGGGAGGGGAAATTTGGAGGGAAATTTGGGGGAGATTGGGTGGACATTTGGGGGAATTGACGGGGACATTGGGGGGAAGTTGGGGGAAAGTTGGGGAAATTGGTGGGAAATTGGGGGGTAAAGAGTGCTACAGGGCTTAACTCATCTGCGTTCCCTCTACAAGTCACGCAAAGAAGGTGGTCAAGGAAGTCGAAAAACACAGTGTTTTTCAATACCTGAGCCGGCAGAGAGAGGCGGCAGGGGGATTCGAGCCTGGGACCCCTGTTTCTCCACGAAGACGGACGAAACCCTGGGTTATCCTCTATCCTGTCTTAGGTATCCGGCACGCCGAACAATGTTGGCGGACTACCCAAAGCCACCAGAAGCAACCACCCTAAGACAACTCTAAAGCATCCTGAGCCAACCCTTTTTGCGTGACAGGCGCGCTTGTGATGCACCATTGAAAACACAAAGCGTGCCATGCTTGTCGCAGACTGTAGCTCTCAGTGAGCAAAGTGGTTTGATTCAACGACATCTGTTTTGATTGCCGAACAAGTTTCTCTGATTGTGAGACAATGATTTCCTACCCGCGCAAACCATCGCTCGCAATTTGGTGCAGGAAGCTGCAGCAGGGCCAATGAACGGCATCCTCGCCGCTATCTCAAGTCGACTGTTGTTTTCTCAATAATTAGGTTTGTTTCAAACCAGTTCCCCAGGACTGGACGGACGACGAAGTTGTCTCCACAGACTTCGTGACCTGCAAGGCTTGGCAAAGCCGCTATGACTGGTGCCTGCTAGACAGCGTTTGTTGAACACTTCACTTTGCAGGCTTCCTCGATCTTTGACGAACAGGCAGGTATCGCCCTCAACGAGACTTGGATGCAGCCATGTCGGTCAGGCAAGTTTTCTGTTAGACACTGGCCAGCGCGCAAAACAAGGGGTCCTGCGTGACATGCGATTCACACCAATTCACATGAGTCACTGTGTTGCTAGACAGGACAGGCAGGAGCCGTCACCAACCCTCCGCATTCTTTCCTGACAACAATCGTTCGATTCCTTTCCATGTCTCAGGACAACTTTGTCAAGCTGGTCAGCTGGTACGACAATGAGTGGGGTGATGCTCTTAACTTCGATCGCAGCCTCGTTTTTTAAATGCCGAGTGCTGTTGGCTATGGCTGCCTTGCACTGTTGGTGAAACTTGCATGTCTTGTCTAGGTTACTCCAACCGACTGGTGGAGTTGGCAATCCACATGAAGAAGGTGGATGGCTGAACATGACTCAGAGGCTGGATCAACATATTGTACACACACGACCCAAGCAAACTGCCAATGCAGATGACGGGTGAATTGCACAGGCACAGATGTTGCAGAACGAGCTGCTGACAGGAAGCGCATAGCTTTTAGGCTGGTCCACTGTGAGGACAGAGCCAGCCGCACACAGCCAGAAGGAAAAGAGGCGTGTCTTGCAATGAGTGCGCTTGAATCTTCCGTCGTGGGTGTGCAAAAGCCCAAGAGTGGAAGAGGACTTGTTGTGCCCACCACGTGCTTGAAGGAAGTTGGGTCTTGCATAGTGTGTGACGGAATTTCAGCCACAATTCAACTGCCGGATTGATTTAATTGTTTGATCTATTCAAGCTTTGAATCGGCCAGTCTTCCCAGTTCTGGACTCTTTGTTGGTTTTTCAGTGTTGGTGAGACGGGCTGCCAGACTGTCTCTTTTGGGAAGAGTCTTTTTCGGCACGCTCTACAGAAGGGGCAAAAGGCAGGAAAGTCCAGTTATTGCGGGGGAATGTTGTTCCCCCAAATGAGTCTTCCCAGGCCTCCCAAATCTGAGCATGTTCTGTCAATCAATCTGCGCAAAAAGATTTAAATGTTAGGACAAATTGATAATGTTTGATGATATTTTGGAACAAATGCATAGAAGTGTTTGCACAAGTCAGCTCTTACCTGTGTTTTGTTCACGTATTGTTCTTTCTTCAAGCATACGCGCCGAATGGCCGCATGGCTCGAGTAACTTGCCTCTCGGCAGATTTCTCTAGGGACCTCGTGCGCGCGCCATAGCACGGCGGAGATCATCATCATCGCTGTCAAAGGGCGCGGTTCTCTGGGTTTCCGGTGTTGGGAGGTGGGCGGAGTTTCGGCTGGAGATTCTGGACTTGGTTGGTTGCTCTCTGCAATCAGCAGCGCGCTGGCACCGGCAATCGCACCTCTGGCCACGGCAGCAGCCCTGGCCACCACGAACGGGCAGGCGGCTGCCCAGCATCGCTGACCGGGCTCTTGAACAAGGCGGACCAGTCGGCCTTCGACGTGCTGGAGGGCGTGGTGAAGCTGTCAAACTACAGCGCCGGCAGCCATGAACGGCTCCATCGCGACGCCACGCTGGCCACGGTGGCTGCCAACTACGGCCTCAAGACGGTGGTGGACCAGCACTCCCTCGACATCGCAGCAAGGATCACGCCGCTGGAAGTCGACACCAAGGTGGCCAACGCTCTCCTGGGCGTCGTCACCGCCGCGGCGCTCGCCTCCGAGCTCGCAAGCCAAATCTCATTTAACCCTCAAGCAGCTTACTTTCTTACACCTGTACCTCCTTCAAACTGGTCATCAATCACAGCTCCCCCAAGTCCCGGGGTTCTTTGCCCTCATCGTGTACTACCTTGGGGTCATTTGATTCGAGGACAAGCCGGAAGCCCCCGCTGCGCCCGGCTTTTGCGAGCCAATTCATCCTGCTACCGCTGAGGACTTTGCGGATCTCATGAAGAGGCTTGGTGGAGAAGAGGATGATCGCCCGCGTGATGCTCAAGAAACGGGCCCGGGGCGCGGTGATAAATCGGATATTCCCTGCGCCCATGGAGGTCGAGGGGGGTGATGGGAAACCAACCCCGCCAAAAGAAGATCTTTCCGCCTTTGATGAAGAGGACCCTGACGTCATTCCGCTTGACGATGTATTGTGGAAGCCCGAGTACGTAAACGCGTACGATCTCAACTCGCAGCTTCCCGCGGCTCGCGCCGGCCTAGACTCTTAAAAAGTTATCTGTAGCAAGGAGGCGTACATTTGTGCCTTTTAAGAAGACACGTGTTTTGCATTTTCTGCCTTCTCTGGGGCTTACACGGAGTCTATTTTCAAGCTTGGAGGATGGCTCACGCACACCCCCAGAAGGTGAACGTTTTACGCTTGCCTTCATGCTGCTCACCACAAGACCCGAATCGGGTCCATGCCGTTCCATCAGGTTGTGGGTGCCACCATTTTGAATTAGCAGGGCGACAGGATTATCCGACGAGTGGGCCATATGAGTGCGCAATGTACTGCGGTGGAAATGGGAGGGGGGTCCTGTCTGGGTCATGGCACTTCCGGCAATACACCACGATACGAAAAGGTGACATCCGACTCAACGAGTCGAAGGAAGGTCAAATAGGAAGGGAAAAGCCGAAATGGAGAGAGTGAAACCCGGCCACGACCCGTCCAGCACTTCTAGCACGGTCAAGGTGAGGGCGACCATCTCCAGCGCGCCCGGCCACGGTCCGGGCACGAACATCACCAGAGCAGCGGTGCAGGGCAATGGAGAACATGAAGCACGGCAGCGTTCAGGTAGAACGTCATGCAGGGCAGCACGAAGTGGCAACACTATGCTCACTCCAGCCCTTGTTGGGCGGAGGACGCAGTTGCAAGCTGACTGGTCGTCCGGGCCTATCTGGCCTCCTGTCACGCGTCTGCGACGATCACCGCCTTGGCGACGGGATGAAGGAGCCCGCGTCGCGCGGTGGACCACGACGGTTGTTCGCTGGGGCGTCACGTCCGCGACGGTCATCTCGGCCACGCCTCGCAGCTGGCTCATCACGCGGAGGACGTTGCCTCCGATCATCAGGGCCTTCACCACGCGCGCCCGCGGGGCTGTGTCATCCTTGGCATCCTTGCCGGGGTCGCTTGCCACAGCGAGGGCCACGACGATCGTCGTCGTGTGGCGCGAGGTACGCCCAGTGGAAGATCCCATTCCTCATCATCAGGAAGTACCACGTTCGTCGGCGGCGCTTTGCTGAGGCAGTCTGGAGATGCCCGACTATGACCCGTCTGAGAAAGATGAGTCTGAGTCGGATGATCTTTGTGTGGACGACGATGAGCCGGAGGAGGTCGACGAACCTGAAGATGAGGGCGCGGGGGATACACCTCCTCCCCCGTCCTCCGCCGTCTCCGGCGCCTCCCGCTTTTTGTGCTGATGTTCAGCCGAGCGAGGATGACACTGAGCCTGAGATTCCTGTGTTGCCGGTTGGGGTGACGGCTCCGGGCGGGCCGGAACTGCCAGGGAGACTCAAATCCCTGCCGGCGGGCAGGAACTTCAGCGCTGACCGCAGCTGGTTCCCCCAATAAGACCTGGCCCAACCACCGTGCCAACCACCTTGGTGTTCAAGAAGAAGGCGGCCTAAAAAAGGGGGTGCCTCCTAAACCTTGTCGGAACAAGGGTCCCGTGGAAGGGCTTCTTCGCGCAGAAGGATCCCTTCACCCCGGCAAAACCAAGAGCCGCTTCTGCTCCTCTCACTCTGAAATCGGGACCTGCTCCCTGCTCTGTCCGCGTCTAGCAGCTTGAGGGACGCAAAGGTTCCTCCCTTCACTGACCCTGGAGATCCTGGGCTCGGCAAGCTCCTGCTTGACGTTGTCCTGTGTTTGAGGACGTCCGCCAGGCAAGTGTCGTATAAGCCACCGTTATAGATCAGGTTGTTGATGCTGACGCCCTTCCCGACGCCTTTGTGCACGTAGTCCATTGCGTCAGCAAGTCAAGGTCGAAGCCGCCGCTCTGGCCTGCAACGCCCCGATGTGCTGCATACGGCGCGCCTCCTGTCCCTTGACCCCTCAGTCCGACTAGTTGCGCCTCAGTGACGTAACGACGTGTAGAAACCGCTCTTGTTAGGGTTAAAGTTGGCATCCCCCACTCAGCAGCGTAGAAGAAATCGGGGACAGTGCGCCCGTAGAAGGGAAGCCCAAGCACTTCATTTCGAAGCGCTTCCCCAGGCCCTGACCGCGGCTGTCCGCCAAGTGTCAGGGATATTGGGATCCTTTCCTTCCACGCTCGTCCACCCGATCAAGCTCGGCATTTTAATTGGGGCTCAGGTAATGCCGCTTGGCTCATTACTGAGTTGGCACTGGCTTTTTGGTTGGTTCCTTTCGTCGTGAACTCAACTGTCACGCATCCTTTCTCTTGTCCAGATCACGTATTGTTCTTTCTTCAAGCATACGCGCCGAATGGTCGTATGGCTCAAGTTTCTTGCCTCTCGGCAGATTTCTCTAGGGACCTCGTGCGCTCGCCATAGCGCGGCGGAGATCATCATCATCGCGGTGAAAGGGCGCGGTGCTGTGGGTTTCCGGTGTTGGGAGGCGGGCGGAGTCGGCTGGAGATTCTGGACTTGGTTGGTTGCTTTCTGCAATTCTCTCTATTTTCCACTTAACCCTCAAACAACTTACTTCTTACACCTGTCACGTCCTTCAACCTGGTCATCAATCACAGCTCCCCCGAGTTGTGTCACCGGTTCTTTGCCCTCATCGTGTACAGGTCATTACCAAAGAGCACCTATAGGTGTGAATTGCTTTCCGTATTCAAGGTTTGTCCTTGAGTTGTACTGGTCGATTTTGCTGGAATTCTTCTCAACATCTCCGCTAGTCTCAGAGACTTCTTAGATTGGTTGCTGGGAAAGCCAGTTGTAAACGCGATGTGCTTGTCTTCTTGTGGGTGTGGGTCCACAAATGGGTACCCAACATGGAACCCCGGGGAGTGGAGGCAAGGACTAAATATATATATACACACAAACGCACACATATGCGCGTACATAGGTATACCGCGTGCACTGCATGGTCCTTGCAGCCTTTTGCGAGGAAAGAGCCTTCCTGGCTTGCATCGTTTTCGTCAGCTGCTTCAAAGCCCATTTGCGTTGCACTCAAAAACCGAAGATCTTCGCAGAACAGCCGGACTATCGGCACTCCTGGAAGCTGCTTTGGCGAAGCCATGGCTTCGTTCCGTGAGCTCCTTCGGCGGCTTGAGGATGCACACGATCTTGAGCTTGCCCAGCTGCGGGAGGCGGGATTCGGGAAGGATCTGCCACGGGATGGCTGGGCACCGGGCACTTTGGTTTGGGGAACTGGGCGACATAGCTGGCTTGACCTGAGGAGCTCGGGCAGGCCGGGTCTCGCCGGAAATCAACAGTCGCCATGAATATGGATGACTTCTTGAATTATTCTCGCGGGAAAGAAGCCGCCACCTTAGTTTGGGGTCCAATCACCGGAGACTCGGCTGCCTCGAAGCGAAGATGGTGCACAGTTTGAGGCCCCACGCCGGCGACTCTATGAAAATGAGTCACCAGGCTCAGCCTTGAACGAGAGTGCAACCCATGAGGAGGACGGGGCAAAAAGCGTTGGCATATTGGAAATGAGTTCCTTTTTTTTCGGGAGGTGGGGGGTGGGGGTGGGGTGGGACTGGTTGCATGCTACAAGGTTCAGACAGCAGAGCCTTCAAGTCATTCATCGAAGGCAATGTGTAGCAATTGTGCACAGGTGCACGTGTGATGAGAAGTTGAAAGGCCCCTTGCTTGGGAGACTCCACACATGCCACTTCGCATCATTGGCGTCCGGGAAGTAGACGCTGTCGAGCACCTTTTCTGCAGACGGGGCGATGTTGTTCTCACCTCAAGGCAGATGCTGTCCGGCGAGCCCTTTGTGATGAGAAGATGTGCTTCTTTTGGCCGCTGGCTGGATAAGTCAATCTGGCAGTGGGGTCAAAAAGAAGTACCCAAAAGGTAGCCCGGGGTAAATAAAACCCTGGGCCCCCTGGCATAATTTGAACCCATACCACATTTGTTTTGCAAATGAGCCAATGTCAGGATCATCATCATCTAGATCGCCGATCAGGGTCAATGGCCTCGCTTGGAAAGAGGCCGACACTGGAGCTCCATCCTGAATGGGAAGATACAGGCGCCGTAAAACTTTCACGTGAACAGAGGCATGTTGCAGGCTACCGTGCTGGGATTAAGCTGAAATGGTTGTCATTAGTGTACTCTAATTTCTTGCCGAGCTACTTGTTCACAGATACTTAGACAGTCTACTTGCCCAGCTCTGCTTGCTTTTTTTGCTTGCACAGCGTCGCTTGCGAAGCTCTACTTGTGTCGCTTCTTCTGTACCTATTGTTTTCCAGTGATCTGCCTTCAAGATCCGGCAGGTTGACATTGCGGAGCGAACCTGTGCATGGTTCGGGTTGGTTCATGGGCGTAGGCCCGTAGCGAAACGCAGCTCTTCCACGTTGTGAAGCGACCCTCTGCGTGGATTGGGTGGGTTGACGCGCATAAACAAGCAGAGCGCACAATTGTCTACATTGCCAAGGCAGCCTTTGCTGGCTTCAGGTAGGGTCGATGTGCAAACGCGCATTTGTACCATTTTTCGACCTTGCCGATGGACCCTATGAGTGGTGATTGGGCGGTCGAAGCGTGAAACGTGTAGTGAACCCGTGGTCCTGGGAGTTGTTTTGCAGGCGCCGAAATGCAAAAGTTTCGACGCTCTCCATTCCGGCCTTAAAGTTTGTGTCGGCACTTGGAATCGCGCCTCACTTCGTCAACTCCGGCGAGGTTGTGACGTGCAAAAGAGTTGTGACCAGCTCCCGCTCGCTCAAAGTGTCTGAAACACACAGAGGCGAAGTAGACTTTGGCAGCTTCACGGACATTTTGCTGATTTTCTGTGAGAGTACGCCAGTGCAGCTCAAAAGTCGCAATTTGCAAGTGCGAAAGTGATACGCAAAGTAGACATGTGCGTAGCTCCGGCTCCAATGTCAATAGTTTAAGGTAGGCAAGGAATGCGTGAAGGGGCTTTTTCTGCAGCTGCGGGTCGGGATCCAGTGATTCCTGGGTGGTTCAGGATTTGGCTTGTAGTTTGGACTGGTTGTTAGTGGGTGATGCAACGGGGTATTTCTTTCTGTATGGTGGACATGGCAGCTTGCAAAAGCACTGTGAAGATAACCTGTGTGTCATTCAATCCTCAAGAGAGGAGACACGTGGGGAGGTCTCCAAGCTTCCCTAAGGTTTGTTGAGCCAAGGCTGAGAGGGTGCATAGAAGAATGTTTGCAAGCGTCGTCTCTGAAAATGGGTCAACGAGCAAACAAGTTGGCCTTCGGATTGTTCTGCAGAAGCAAAGGGGCAATGAGTTCCGCAAATTACATACAGACAAGTGCCGTGTCAGGGTGGTGATTAGCAAGCCAGATTGCGGACAAACCCCTGCTGCTGCAAGCTAGGCAAGCTCTGGCAATGTGTATCCATGAAAGTCCTACTGTGAAGCTTGACAAAGCGAGCAAGCAACAACCGAGAATTAAGTTGGTGAAATTCTGGTTTAAGTATTCTTGCAGTAGGAGTACGCAAAGCATTTGCTTGCTTTCAGCCTGAGTGCTCCAGTCAATCGCGAGAGCTTCGCTTTTTTTTGTTCCTGGCCTTCAAAAGTGGCCTTTTGGAGCTTGTCGCGCCGATTGAACAGACTGATTGTGTTTTGGGTGCAGTTCCCGAGCGACACAGATGCAGGTCAGCAATCGACAGTCCCACCAATGAGAGGAACTCAACGCCCGATTCCGCACCCACAAAGAATAGGCAGAGGTTCACCGTGTGAGCTTTGTGATCCGCTGAATCTTGCCATGCCAACAAGGACACATCAAGCGATTCTGCATGCGCGGAACGGTTTGGAAAGGCTTACCATTTTGATTCTTGCGGAGGACATTTGTCGTTCACCCAACCCAGTGCCGATACCGCCTGCTTTTTTCGTGGTAGCCTCACAGTGTTTCTTTGCCAGCTCTGTTCGTTTGCCATATTGTGTATATCTTCGCATCTATCTGGCACTTGCACATATCATGTGCAACCAATCCTCTTTTGCTCATTGGATGTTTAGCCGGGGTCAAGACGGTCATTCTCCCTTTCCTTGGGATCTTGGATATCATGGTTATCCGCTAACTTAAACAGCACCAACAGCACCATGCGCTTTAGCCCGTTTGCCGGCTTTGACGCGAGCGGCAGGCGAAGAAGTAGTCAATCCGAATGCAAAGCCGCTGCTCCAGCGAAAGTCCTCCATAGCGGAAGAAGGGCAGGCG